AAGAAAATGTTATGTTTGGCGTAAAAGCAACACAACTCATCACCCTGAACACACCGACCCCACTGTCAGACACGGAGGTGGCAACATCATTGTTTGGGCCTGCTTTTCTTCAGCAGGGACAGGGAAGATAGTTAAAATTGAGAGGAGGATGGATGGAGCTAAATACAGGAGCATTCTGGAAGAAAACCTGATGGAGTCTGAAAAAAGACCTGAGACTGGGACGGAGATCCAAAACATGAAGCAGAATCTGCAATGGAGTGGTTCACACATACTGTAAACATATCCAGGTGTTAGAATGGCCTAGTCAAAGTCCAGACCTGAATCTAATCCAGAATCTGTGGAAAGAACTAAAAACTGCTGCTCTCCATCCAGCCTCACTGAGCTCTAGCTGTTTTGCAGGAAGAATGGGTAAAAATTTCAGTCTCTTGATGTGCAAAACTGATAACCATATCATAACCGGAACGACTGAACGCTGTAATTGCATCAAAAGGTGACGCTATAAAGTCTCAACAAAAGGGCGCTGAATGATTTTGCACACTTAATTTTTCTGTATTTTTATTTCTTAAAAAAGTTTAACATCTCCAATAAATTTCGTTCCAGTTAATTCTAAAAACAAATCAAGGCTCAATATATAGGTAAAGCAATCCAATATACTGGTTTAATTTACATGCCAGTACTTTCCGTATGGTTTTAATATAATCTTACCAGCGTTTTTCTTATGATCAGTAATGTTATTTAGTTGGATTACTGAAACGAAGCCTTCGGGGAGAAACCCCAGCATTTGGGAGGGACTATTCTAAACTAATAAGTCTTTTTTGGTTCCTATAATCTCTTCTCTGTTTATGGGAAATCATCGGTATTTACTTTTCCCACCTATACTCTCCAAAACGTGTCACTGTTGTGAGCTAACGGTTTCATAGCATCATGCCAGCTGGAAACACGTCTACACCCCTGAACACCATCCAATAGGATTTGTTTATCAAGTCAAACTAATCGACAGTTATGCAACAATCTGGTTTCTGTTGGAGAATACTACCTCCAATTACCAGCAGCAACAAAGGATGTGGTGTGGGAATGAAAGGTGCAGAGAATCTCACAGGAACCTGTGTTGTGCTGCAGCCAGATTAGATGGTTGGAATCAGGATGTCCTGCTCCTCACACACAACAAGCCGGCTCCTTATCACCACCTGATTTATAATAATAGGACAAGCTGAGACTAAACAACACCTGCGCCACAGCAAACACGCAGCTCTGCTGTTTGCATTGATTCATGAAGACAAAGTGGACCAGCCCTCACTGTTAGCGTTTCATCCAGAACCAGAGCTGTGCTGCTTTAGGCTAACAGAGCTAATAGATTTTATCTTTATTCAGTTAACTGATTTTCTACTATGGATAGAATAATATTAACCCTGTGAGGTAATTAAACAAACATTTATAACAGCCACCATGTTGGCATTAAAAGGCATTTTTTTAAAGATTAAACATGGCTTCTGTGCAATAAGTAAAAATTAAAAGTATCTATAGGGAGGAGTTTAGCTGCATCAATAAATGCACTAAATGTATACGACCCTCTTTTGTTCATAATGGCCACTCACAGCGCTCAACGCTAGAGCCACATTCAGGTTAAGTGCCTTGCCCAGGGGCACATTGACGTGACTAGAGGAAAGAGGAAACGAACCAACGTCATTCTGACTGCTCTACCATCTTGGCCAGTATCGGGGAGGATTGTTTTTCTATTGGTTCAATCTGTGAATGACTTCAAAGAGTAATCAGCTTTCAAAGGAACTGCCTGACTCTAACCTGTAGCACCAACCTAATTGATGGTGAGCAGCAGTGATTTGTTTTACGTTGATGCACTTTGGGTTTTTTTGCCCTTTCCATTGATTTCATGTCATCTGAGACACAGAAACCCCTCAACCTTATTGGTCAAAAAGTTCTGGGCTAAATTAGCCCAGCTATCCTCACAGAGCTGCTGAGTAACTCAGTCTTGTCAGCATCAACACAGATACTTCCCTCTACATGCATTTAAAAAAAAATCTGTGACTCGTCATTGTTAAGAAGGTGTGTAACTGGTGAAACTGATAGGAAGGTTTGAGATGGGCCTATAGTTCTGCAGTAGCAGCAAGTCCATGTTTTTGGGTTTTTTTTTAAACAGAGGTCCCTTTCATAAATCTCTGTTTTTAAGGCCTAGGGGGAAACAGCTGACAAAAGAGATTATTTATTTTTTCACTCTTTCTATGTTCTAGTTTTTTTGGTGAAAGTTGGAAGGATAAACTAGACAAAAGTAAGTTGAAGACCTTATGAGTGAAGGCCGGCATACACTGTGCAATATTGTCAATCGTTGCATGCAGCTATAGCTTAAACTGTACGACAAGGTTTAAAAGTTCACAGCTCATGTTTGTTCTCACACTGTGCGGCCTGATGCTGTGATGCAATCTACCTGCTCACAAGGTATGTCCAAAAACCACCCGTCAGACTCAGTGCCAAGAGATGGCGCTGTTCGGACTCGTCAATCTGGAAGAAGAAGAAGAACTCCCTTGTTTGCACATGCGCGGTGCTCGAGGTTCTGGTAAATCTGCTCATACACTGTTAAAAAAGTAAATGGCAATTGTTGTTCTAACACACAATTGTATTGTAATCCAACTCAGAAATATAAATTTGACATCTAACAAATAAATACATGTTTGCCCAACTCAAATTCTCAGAAGTTGGTTTAACAAGGAGTTTTAAATCGCCTATACAACATTTTTTGAGTTCCCTCAACTGTAAACTCATGGGCATGCGCACTGCTTATGTTCATGGACACGCCCACTACGGTACGGGGTTTCCTATCCCTTTCTTCAAGTGCACAGCCTTTTTCCCTCGCGTTTGAGAAGACTAGCGGACATTGTCCTTTTATGCATCTGGAGAACCACGGAGGAACGACCCTGGGACCTTACCAGTTTTCTGAATCTTTTCTTTTCCCGGTGAGTGCTGCAAAGTACAGACAGTTAGTGGTTAGCTCTGTGAGTTAGCATTCCCTTGTGGTGTATTGCCACCGAGTTGAAGCATGAGTTCACATGTTTTTCACGTTCTGATGAAAGGAAAAGCCGCGCACGTGCGTGTTTATAGTGCGCGTGTGTGTTTATGTCGCGCATGTGTGGATGAGTGTTTATGCTAGAGAAAAGAGTGCCTGTTATTTTCATTGTACAAATGAAAAGAGACATTAAGTTGAGTGTAATAACTTATGAAATTTCTAAACTGTTTTATGTAGTGCAGTGTTGTTGCACTCAGGCACAGAATATTACAAGACTACATTATTTTACTTTCTTAATCCGATGTGGATATTTACTGTTTAACTGTAAGTGGTTTTATAATTATTTACATGTGGATTTTTTGCTTTCATGATTTTATTTGCTTTAAAAGAAAAACAGTGACATTAACATTTTATATGTTAACCCTGTAATGCAGCAGTTAATTCGTAATGAGTTAGAAAAGTTACATTACACACTGAAATTTATCATACTTGGAGAGATATAAACTGTACAGTTAAGAACAAGAAGTGAATGGATTTAACTAAGCCCTGTTGTGCTATGCAGGCAGGGTTTTTGGATACCCTGGATTCTGGATTCTCTCCTTAAATGGAGATGGCGAGCCAACCGTGCGAACATCTGGATTTGGACTGAAGAAGAGGATTTGGACTGAAGAGGACTTTCTTTTCTTGCATTCATCGTCCTGTCGGAGTGGTAGGACTAAAAAGAAAAACTCAGAGATAAAAAGGGGAAACCTTTTTCTTTTTCCGTTGGGAAACAAGACATTTTATTTCATTTTATTTTTTTTAAAGGGTGCACCCAATTTAAAGAGACTACAATTGAAAAAATCAAACTGAAGGCCGTCCAAATATGTAAAACTGTTATTTTTTCATTATACGTTAATACACTTACTTCACAAAAAATTACCTGTGTGTTTTCCTCTTACTAAATCGGTGTCTTACTGTTTTTTCCATCATCATCAGTCCCTCTTACGAATCTAGAACATTCTGGTCCAGTGTCAGGTTACTTTGCTCTGTGCAGTTAAGATTATGTTGTTGAACATGGTTTTATACTGTATCTATTGATACAATGTTTGACTTGAAGCAATAAAAATGTTGTATTAACATAATTTTTTGTGTGTTGAATGATTGGTAGTGAAGACGATTGGTTGGACTAAAAAAACTGAGTTGATAGAACTCAACTTGCAGATAACACTACAAAATCTGAGTTTGTAGAACTCAAAATCTATATGTCAAACTCATAAAACAAAGTTGATAGAACTCAGAACTTAAAGGTGAAACTCAAAAACCTAAGTTGGTAGAACTCAAAATTTCTATGTAACACTCCAAAAACCTAAGTTGGCAGAACTCAAAAATCTTTGTAAACTCAACCACAGTGAATTTAAGTAAAGAAAACTCAAAAAACCAAATGCATCACGTTGCCTAGAAAATTTAAGTTCTGTCAACCTCTATTTTTTTTTCAGTGTAGATGCTCTTAGCTCTGCTTCAACAGCGGGATTTGTCCACGACCACCTCTAGACGGCCGACTAAATTTCAAACATGTTTGATTTTTTTCCCGACCTTACGATTCCTGATCGGAAGGTGGTCTTGAGAGGCTGATCACCCCTCGTTACCTCCTGTACACGACACACGATCAGACTGAAACTCGGCCAGATTGAAAAAATTCTTGCATGACTGGAAAATCGTCCAGAAAAGGGCAAAAAATCATACAGTCTATGCCCGGCTTGAAGGAAAGATATAGAGTTTACAAAGAACCTTTAGCCTAGCATTGCTGTAGCCATGCATTGGGTGGGCTTTGGTGCCAGCTATGTAAATGTCTTCTGACTCTGCACAGGTATTTGCTTTTATTTATGATGCCATGAGAAGTAAAGACATCTCTGTTGCGTTGCCACTTTTCGAAACAGCTCACTGACGAAGTGCATCCTGTGGCTGGCATGTTCCAGTAAAAGAAGTGAGTATAGTTACTTACCAGGTCCCTGTGAAGCACCCAATTGGCATGGAGGTAATGGATCCCATCCAGAATCTGATACAAAAGAGATTTCACCATCCCTCTGGGTAGCTGCATGGGTTTCTTGTTGGCTTTGGAGGCACGGTGGAACTTAATGATGTGCTGCAAAACAAGCAAAGGTTCAATGGTGGAACCTAACCTCCACCTCCGTCCATGTTTGGATGATTCAAGGCTAATATAGGCAACATCTACATGAAGACAAAAAACACCTCTTTGAGTTCAAAGCCAGCTCAGTCAATATTTGCCACCACATGAAATATAATAAATATACCTGAAAATGCTGTCAAATTATGCCAGATCCGTTAGTGACGCAAACAAGCCAGGCGAGAATTGGACATGGGTACCATTATGTTCTCATTCTTTCAGTGTGGATCATGTGTGCCTGTCTAAAGGTAAACATGTGCCTGGGCCAAACAAAGCAAGCATCTCAGATAAAGTTTCGCCTACAAACCCCCAAAATGCCAGCTTCGTCTTGATGATACATTGGTTTGCTGTAGTACTTTCGTCATTAAGCCTAAGCTTGTCTTTGTGTGGATGGGACCTTACAGACAAAAACAGAGTAACACAAGGAAAGGGTAACAAAGAAAATGTTTTAAGAGATCTTGACCCATCACTTCTGTCACCTTTTCCTTTTAGTATGAACCATCTGGGCGCGACAGTGGTGTCGGGTGCAAGAGTTTGCCCTGCAATCGGAGGGTTGTCAGTCAAGCCCTGGCTCTGGCTCAGGTGTCGTTGTGTCCTTGGACAGGACACCTTCCCACATTGCCTACTGATGGTGGTCAGAGGGCCCGGTGGCACCAGTGTACAGCAGCTTTACTTCTGTCAGTGAGCCCCATAACAGTTGAGGCTACAATGTAGCTCCCCATCATGATTGTGTGAATAATTTTAGTGTAAAGCACTTTGGTGAAGTCTCCTGACTTGAAAAAGTGCTATATAAAACAGGCCATTTACCATATGGACATACTTTATATAGTCCAGTTACTGTTCCCGTAGAAACAGGTTTGGCTGAGATTCCTACTGTTGCATGATGTAGCAGCAGTGAAGAAAGACTCACCCAGAGATCATGCTCAGCGTAGTCGAAGAGGAGCCACACCTTCCTGTCGCTGTGGGACAGGAACACTTTCTGAAGCGCGATCACGTTCGGGTGCTTCAGTTCTCGTAACAGCTGGAAGACACAGCAGAAGTATGTGAAGAATCCGCAGGATAATTATTACTCTTCGAAAGTATAATTATTTACATATTTGTTCAAATATCTACTTGTGTGAAGACAATGGATTTACTTAGAAATTTGACATCTTTTAATTTACCAGAAGTGAACCATTTAACCCGTGGAAAGTAAAGGTAAAAAATGCTGGTGAAGATTCTCAGTCATCCAGGTCATAATCATTGCAAAAAAGTTAAAAAAAACAATCCACTGGACTTTGTTTCCAAGTTTGAAGGAAGCTTTTCCAATTCAAAATGTCAGGAATAGCGTTGAGTTTAAGGCTTTATAGAATTGAACATGCAAATTGAACCTTTAAAGCTTCAAACTTAACTCTATTTCTGACATTTTGAATTGAAAAAGCTTCCTAGATGGGATATGAAACATCTTCAAACTTGGAAACAAAGTCCAGTGGATTGTTTTCTTACTTTTTTGGAAAATAAAGGTATAAATCGATTCAGTTTAATGTGGCCAGTGACTTCTGACATGTTTTTATGCAATAACTTCTGTTCTTCAATGTGTCTCTCTTCTGAGACTAGATGAGAGGATTGAAATATTAAACCTCAGAAGTAAAGCAGAGTAAAAACTGTGAAACACTGTGTTCCATTCACTGCTTCCTCCGTTTAAGCGTGAGTTAATAACAAGCCCAAGCAGCAGAACAAACAATAATCCCCACAATCCTAACTTGCACCTGTTCTTTCACATCATGCAGACATACTGTCTGCTTCTTCTCTAACTACAGACCCTGTGCCTGAGAACTTTTGCTCTGGCTTCAGTTTTTACCTTCAGGATTTAAACTCTTTCCCATAACAAAAACTGCTGGTGCCCAGATTTTATTAAGTTACCCTTAATATGCATTTCCCAGTTTAAAAACAGGTAACATTTTACAAGTCTAAAGGTGTGATATGCACCCGTTTACAAATATATTTCTACTAATACACAATGACTTGTTTTTGGTAAACTATTACGTAAAGTTCAAGAACCTTTAGTAATTGTAACATAATGTGAAAGGACAGCTTTGTTTCAAAATGTTACGGTAAAATGCAACATTCTTTTTAGCAGAAACCTAAAAACATCATATAGTTGCATCTTTTTCAGCTGAATAATACATTTTTTACAAAAATAACACATTAACAGAATGTCTAGCGTGATTTTCAGGAAAAAATCCATTGTCAGAACTTTGACCTTTCCTTCTGGTTACGATGCAATTGCCAACATGAAGGGATTCTGCACCAACAGGATTGGAGACTCATGTCTCGGTCAGGTTTTCATAGATTTTAGCAGCTCTGTGATAAAGCTGAAAAATGGCTCATTTTCTTTATTTCAGTTTCTCAGATCAAAGCCAAAAACAAAGAAAGAAGCACAACGAGGGTGAAGCCTTTGAGCATTGGTGGCGGCTTAAGAGAGGAAAGGAGTCCAGAAGCCATGCAGAGATAGCTGCTTTCTATCTTGATAAGTAAGATAAATGTTTGCTAAGGCTAACTAAAGTTAGTATTGGCGAATGGTTGGAATGAAAGCGAATGAATGCACCACTTACGTGCTGGGAGGAGTGAAACTCATAGCTGTTAACTTTACTCTAAGATCACAGAGCAAAGAATGAACACCCTGATATTTAACTGCTGGAGTGAAAAATAATCCGAGAGGGATGTGCTGGTGAAGATTCTCAATCATCCAGGTCATAGTCATTCCAAAAATAGTTAAAAAACAATCCATTTTACTTCGTTCCAAGTTTGAAGACGTTTCACTTCCCATCTAAGAAGCTTTTCCAGTTCAAAATGTCAGAATTGCATTGAATTATATCGGTTCAATTTGCATATTTTCAAAGCCAAAGAGTTCCAGGTTTTATAGAGTGGACCAAAACAAAGCCTTGTTTTTGTTTAGAAAACATGCAAATAGAAATGGAGGAACGGGTCCACCCCTTTGGAATGGGTGTCATTTGGCTTCTGTTGTTAGCCTGCAAAGACCCATACCTGTCTAGGTCTCTGAAAGGGGGGTCATTAAAGGGAATTGTTGGTCTGGCTGAATAGACAAAGTCTTCTCCTCCCCTGTAACGGGGGGTTGTGGAGATAGCAGGAAGGAATCAACTCAATGGCTGAGCTGTAGGTTTTCAAAAAGCTGAAACCTGGGTCCACCCCCTCTGTTTAAGGTTTGTTTATTCTTTCTTACATAGATGACTATCCTTCATGCCCCTCTCAAACCACCTATCTTCTTTGTCCAAAACGTGAACATTCTGGTCCTCATCCCAGAGGGATGACAACACAAAGAACTCATTTATTGCTAAGGACATATTGGATGCAAACAATGCACTGCAAAAAAAATCTAATCAAAATTAAAGCCACAAGTGGCATTGTGCGGCCCTCGCAGCTCGCACCGCCTGGTATGTTGCGATCGCTGGAACCAAGCGACCTCCACCTCCATGCTCCTTCCCAGCCTGTGCTCCTGCTCTTCAGCCTATACCTGCTGCTGCTTCTCTTTATCCTCCCCCTCCTTCTTATTCTGCTGCTGCCACTGTTTCTCCTCCACCTGCAGCCTCTCCTCCTCTTACTCATCCTCCTGCTAATGCAGCTTCTCCTCATCATCCTCCTGCCGCTGCTTATCTTGCTGCGTCTCCTTCTCCTCCTCCTGCTGTTGCTCTTGCTGCATCTCCTTCTCCTCATCCTGCTGCTGCTCTTGCTGCATCTCCTTCTCCTCATCCTGCTGCTGCTGTTTCTCTTCATCCCCTGCCTGCTGCTGCTTCTCCTGATCCTCTTCATCCTCCTTATCCTGCTTCTTTTCATCCTCCCCCATTCTCCTTCTGCTGTTTCTCTTCCTTACCACCCTCCTCCTCCTTGTGTTGCTCATTCTCCTCATCCTCCTGTTGCTCCTGCCTATCTTCATCCTTCCCCTCCTTCTGCTGCTTTTCTAAATCCTCCCCTTCCTTCTACTTCTTCTTATTATCATCCTAATCATCCTCCTCCCCCTGTGCTCCTTCTCTTCATATTCCTCTTCCTGCTGCTGCTCTCACTGTGTCTCCTACTGCTGTTTGTTTCTCATCCTCATCATCCTTCTCCTCCTCCTAAAAGCATGGCTTTGTATGACTGGAGTTAACAGTTTGATGCTTAGCCACGCCCACATGCTTCCATGTAGAATAATAATTTTGATAACTTTTAAACTGCTATGACTATAGTCCATGTAAAGTTAATTTGAAGTCTCTAACTAAAAAAAAACCAAGAGCCCTTCACTCAGATATGTCATGACTTAAAAAAAGAAAATGGTAACTTTGATCCAAAATGGCTGACTTCTTGTTGGGTGTGGACCATGGCTTTAATTGACTTTTTTGAGCATCCTGTTGCGTTATACAGATTTAATAATCCTTAATAAAAGCAGGGCCTGAGGCAGTTTAGTCATACTCTAATGGCGAGAAGTCTAATTTTGATGCTTGGCCATGCCCACATGGTTTGTCACAGCAAAAATCTTTTGATAACTTTTGATCCCTTATGTCTTAAGTCTAGGCTCAGCAAGTTAGAAGTTTGCAGCCCAATCGCTCAAGGAGGAGTTAGCTAACATACAATATAAAGATGAAAAAGCTAATGATGGCTTTGATTCAAAATGGCGGACTTCCTGTGGGGTTTAGACCATGGCTCCAATATAACTTTTTTAGGTCCAGATGGGTTACATATGTGTACCAAATTTCATAACTCTCATTAAAAAAATGGCCTGGGGTTTGCATTGTGTTTCATAGCAAAGGGACCACATTTGACGCTTGGCCACGCCCACATGCTTTGATGTAGAAAAATTCCTTTGATAACTTTTGATCCCCCGTACCTCAGCTCAAGGTGGAGTAAGTTTGAACTCTGTAACTCAAACGGTCTAGGAGGAGTTCGCTCAAACAGGTAACGAAGGTAAAAAAGCAAAGTGATTGTTTTGATTCAAAATGGCTGACTTCCTGTGGGGTTTGGACCATGGCCCCAAGAGGCTTTTTTGTAGGTCCTAAGGGGTTACATAGGTGGTCCAAGTTTCACATCTCTCAGTCATAACATAACATGGGGCTTACCCTTTGTTTCACTGCCTAGTGACCAAGTTTGGCGCTTGGCCACGCCCACATGCTTTGATGTAGAAAAATTCCTTTGATAACTTTTGATCCCCAATGTCTCAAGTCATTATACAGTGAATATAAAGTCTGTAACTCAAAAGCTCTAGGAGGAGTTCGCTCAAATAGGTCACAAAGGTAAAAAAGCAAAGGGATTTCTTTGATTCAAAATGGCCGACTTCCTGTGTGATTTGGACCATGGCCCCAAGAGACTTTTTTGTAGGTCCTGAGGGGTTACATAAGTGGTCCAAGTTTCAGAACTCTCAGTCATAACATGGCACGGGGCTTACCCTTTGTTTCACGGCCTAATGATCAATTTTGGCGCTTGGCCACGCCCACATGCTTTGATGTAGAAAAATTCCTTTGATAACTTTTGATCCCCAATGTCTCAACTCATTATACAGTGAATATAAAGTCTGTAACTCAAAAGCTCTAGGAGGAGTTCGCTCAAATAGGTCACAAAGGTAAAAAAGCAAAGTGATTGTTTTGATTCAAAATGGCCGACTTCCTGTGTGATTTGGACCATGGCCCCAAGAGACTTTTTTGTAGGTCCTGAGGGGTTACATAAGTGGTCCAAGTTTCAGAACTCTCAGTCATAACATGGCACGGGGCTTACCCTTTGTTTCCCTGTCTAATGACCAAGTTTGACGCCTGGCCACGCCCACATGCTTTGATGTAGAAAAATTCCTTTGATAACTTTTAATCCCCAATGCCTCAAGTCAAGTTGGAGTTAGTTTGAAGCCTGTGACTCAAAAGCTGTAGGAGGAGTTCGTTCAAATATAGAGGCTATAAAATGCAAAATTACGGTGAAAATTTGAACTTCAATCCAAAATGGCCGACTTCCTGTGGGGTTTAGACCATGGGTCCAAGAGGCTTTTTTGTAGGTCCTGGGGTGTTT